GCCTGTAAATACTTTACATGTGAAATGGGCCTCAGTTGTCCTTTCATATATATTTCGGGCCCATGTTATATAATCTCATTCCAATTTGGGTCTTGAAATGATTTACATGTTTAGCGATGCATTAGTGGTTCACTTACATTGATCATTAGGCCTGAAAGGAATTTATACCTTTTTCTTCGCGTAAATTCGATTAAGGATATAGCGAGTTTTTTTCGGTTGGCACATATTAAGTGTACAATCGTAGCCTGTAGTTATAACCAGAGTCTCTTGGAGGGAGAACGGGGATTTGTGTATAGATCTATACGGGGATGACACCCCACACCTGAGCTGTTCGCGACAGTTAGACTAACTCAGTCTATGGTGACAAAAACCTTATAATCAAAGTCAAAACCGGCGTCCAACGACGCCAAGACATGTGAAATTGTCATTATTTAGTATGGTTATGACGGCTCGCTTAGAGGAATTAATGTTATGAAGTTTACGGAAAACTTTTTTTTGTACAAGCAATATCGAGTTGTCTGGGAACATTCTCTTTACATGCTCTTACATTCTCTCTACATTCTCTTTACCTTTTTAGTCAAATAACAATAACATACATGCATTAATACAAGATCTAACACAAACACACTAAATAGTTTTCAGAAAATATCGGATTTTCTGGTGGTTTTCAAAGTTATACAAATCATTTTCACAAACATGCTTATGAACTCATCAACATTTTTATGTTGACCGTTTTCAAAATAACTTGTATTCTCAGGAAACTGTTGAAGCAGGATGAACGAAACAAACTAATGGGATATTGTGTTATATTTTGTTTCATCATACTTTTACTATTTTGGTATGTAATATTCAAATACAATACTCGATGTAAACAATGAATGTTGTTATATTACATGTGTGATGATGATGATGTTATGTTTCAAATATATTCACTATAATGATATTTCAAGATGAAGTAACACACAAGCCCCCGGACGTTTCCGCCGTCTGGTTCGGGGGTGTGATAAAAATGATTATTTTACAAAAAATAATTTTAATGAGTTATTTTTTTTAAACACACAAAAAAATGATTAGTTTATTCATTTTTTTTTTTTTTGGTGGTATAGACGTCTAATAATTCTTCTTGGGCTATGTTCTTTTTAAAATCTGCCATTAATGATTTAAAGCCCAAGATTTTTGTGTGAGCATAACTTCTTTTGTCACATATGTTTAGCCCATTAATGACGGAATTTTGTTATTACAAAGGCCTTTATTTTATAGTGGTTAACAAAGATTGATCCTTGAGATGAAAGAGACCTCAACAACCCTTTTACCATAATATTGTTACAAATGAGTGACAAAAACATGCATATTATTAGAGGTCTATGTTCCAACATATATGATGCAATGATAATAGTTCTCTAATGACCATTTCGTGAATTCACAAGGCCTATTTTGTAGTGGTTGAAAAGATTGTTCTTGGAGACAATCGAAACCTCAAGAAGCCTTTTACCAAAATACCCATTAAGAAAAAAATTGTCGAAGCATGTAATATTGGGCATTATTTTTCAAAATATCGTTTGATTCTATGGCATTTGGCCTTTTACTACGGCCTTTTATGGTCACTAAAGCTCTTGTTTTGTAGTGGTTGGAAAAGGTTGCTCCTTTAGACGAAAATAGCCTTGATAATCCTTTTACCAAAACACCCATTACCAAAAACTGTCAAAAACATGTATGTTTGGACATTATTTTCCAGCATACCATATGCAACACCTACCTTTGTACTATTTGTAGCACTTTGCATTCACATAGGGGCAAAATGGGAAGCCCTTTTGTCACTCAGATTGCATCTGATTTGGTACCACAATTCCTGATGAGTACACTTTGTCTTGAGATAATACCTCATCTATACTTAATATGCATGTTTCTATTACCATTGCTCTACCAACCCATGCTTGGTTTGCATTGCCTTTCCATATATATATATATATATATATATATATATATATATATATATATATATATATATATATATATATATATATATATATATTCTTTTTGAATTTAAAGCATGAAACTAATCTATTATTTTTTGAAGCATTTGGTTTGTTATGTATAATTTGGTTTTATAAATTGTGTTTTTACAGATACACTAAGGAAAAAAATAATTAAACAATATATATTGTTAAAACAGCTGTCTTACACAATTTTAAACAAATAAAATATAAAATAAACTGCTCTATTGCGCAAGGTATGGGTAAGCATGGTCAAATCCTCAGGGACACGTCTTAATGTTTATACCTCTTTGCGTAAGGTATGAACTAATTCTTGCGAAATGCCATAACATAAAAAAAAGGGGGGAAATTTTATTCTGAAAACTAAACAATAGAAATTGAAAATGACAAGAAAATGACCAAATGCAAAGTGATGAAAATTCAAATAAGAGAAAGCAGTTCCAGTTTCGCGATGACTCCCCTAATCATATAATTAACCTTCAACACAATATTTGACTATGCACTTGTTTAAACTAGTACTAAGGTTCATTAACAAGCTCTAATGACCTTTATTATAGAAACCATTTAATCAAAATAAGTTCTTTGAATTAAACCTAACTTTTAACAAAATTATTCAAATAAGCTCTTGATCAACAAGGAAAAGTTGCATTAGACACAGTGTAATTTCCCAGTAAAGTTCAATACCTCTCATAGGCTCAGAGGCATTAAAACTTGTTGTTAGAACTTAGTTCTTTCAGGATCATTTGATTCTATGCATGCAAACAATTAAGAATGTAAATATATACACGAATATGACTTTGAATATGTCGTATGATTAATACTTCAACGCCTCAGAAGAGCTCGACTAAGAACTTTGGCTGTAGAGGTGTTTAGGGTTACAAAAATTAAACATAATAAAAGTCGTCAACATATAATGCATACATGCATGCATATATATAGTATAACACTACTAGATAATCACGGATGGACAGACCCAATTGGATACAATACAAAAAGCCCATAACATAACACATATAAGCTCTACAATCTCCCCCTTTGCATCAATCTGACCGAAAGTCTACTTCGGTTGAGTGGCAGAAGACTTCTTGACCGTTTTAAACAACTTCGGAATAATGGCCAAAAGATGATGACGAAATGTGATGTACCACCGAAGCATGTCGGTGAAGTTCTTCTTATCTGCTTCGGAGTTCTGCTTGCACTGATGAATTATGTTGATTATGTGCTCTAAGCAGTCTGCTGAAAATAGATGTTTATCTACAAGAGCGAACAAAAATTTATGACCTTTGCCTTTAGTAAACATCACAGTAAGATGTTTTGAATCAATTTGGCCAATCTTCATCTTATTCACATCTCCTGGTTTCAGTGTTGACTTGACAGTCACCTTCTTCTTCATTACCTTCGCTATTTCCTGATCCATACCTGAAACTTCATAAACATACGAAGCTAACATCCTCTTAAGATGCTCCAGAATCGGCTCATATTCCCCCCGAGTTGGTCATAACAAACGTGAGCAGTATTGGCATTCTACAAAATAATCATGAAACACGAAATGCATAGGAATAATCGGGAATTAGTTAGCTTTTTATAATGAAATGTGTAGGAAATTGTGCTAAAGATGCATATAAAATTCATGTAACAAACCTCCCCAAGCTTAGACCTTACTTGCCCTCAAGTTAGGAAACGATAACTATAGAAATGGAATTGGGGCTAAAGGCAGCAACGGGTGAACCTAGACACAATCAACTAAAAGAAACGAAAACCTAACAATAATAAAAGCTACACAAACTAAACATAAAACAAATGCATGCAAAGATATATATATATATATATATATATATATATATATATATATATTACAATCAGGCATTACATCGATAATGGGCTCCAATCATTAACACCAAAGCAACCCTCCTGCTATCTTTCATGTATCACAGACTCCCAAAGTAAGAAAGACCACAAACGGTGTAACCCAATAGTCCAACTCGAGTTTTATTTAAACTTTGTACCTTAATTAGCTTTATGAGAGAAAATAACATCGTCTGGATCTCATGTCCTTAAGACTAGATGGCCAAGAATTAGAATCGACGCATCCTTAAGAACCCGCATGACCAAATCAGATTTCACCGAAGCAGCAAGGGCCAACCCCCGTAGGAGCCCGAGCTCTATACTTTCACTTTTTCGAGAGCCACAAGTATCATATCACACACTTCTTTATTCACCATATATAACTTTGGAACGACTTCTAACTTCATTGAACTTTGCTTTGTACTTTTTTTTTGAGCTTTATTTCTTCAATCCCCCCTTTTTTTAGAATTTCTTGAAGTTTCTTCAATTGAGTGCTAAAAATTCTTCGATTTTGGTATTAGGTATAACGTTGTACCCTTTCTTCATCTTGACTGTGTAGATCTGATACTTAAGCTCTCTGCTACTGCTAGGGTAACGCGTGTCAACCAATAGGGCCATGTTCTTTGGGTTCAGAGTTGTCGATAAAGATTCTTTTTAAACATTAATAAGCAAATCATCCTAGAGCTGTTATTACCAACGAAAAAAACGTTTTAGTACGCCATTTTTTATTATTATATAAGGTTGGGGTCTCGAATCACGGTGTTTGGATCCCCTGGTTATGACATCTGATTCTACACTTTCAACAACATTCGAATTGCTTCGGATTTTTATCATTTATAATTCTTAATATCCCACTTCATGGAGCTATCGTATCTAAAGAGTGTCATCATATCGTACATTTTTTTTCTTCTTCTTTTTTTCATGCAAATGAAAAATACAACAAAATGAAATATTTTAGAAAAAGCTAGGAAGAAATAAAAAGAAATATAAATAAAAAATCTTTTTGGATTTTTTAATTTTTAATATTAAATTTTTTAAAAACAATAAAAAGACATAATAAAGATTATATATATATATATATATATATATATATATATATATATATATAATTACAAAAAGGATAGTAAATCCCCTCCCCAAGCTTAAAATTAAGCATTGTCCTCAATGCTTAGGGAGGAGTGAAAGACGACTACTCATAGGGGGTGCATAGCGACAGCAGAAATCGTCGCGGAAAGTGTCGAAATTGTCACGCAAACCTAAGAGCTCGTCATGATAACCGGTAACCTGAGTGCTATATAGTTGATAATCGAGGCAGAGACCAGTCATAGTCTGCTGAAGAGAAGCAATATCCTGACGGAGGTCAAGATAATGCTGGTAAGTGAAGGGGTAGTTGGGGTCAGGGTGAGATGGCGGAGTGGGTGGTGGCTGATCCTGAAAGTCAGTCTGCATGGGATCAGGCTGGCTAAAGGAAATAGGTGTGGCGTCTGCGTAGTCTGGGTGCTGAGTAGACGAAGGTGGTCGATCAAACTGTGGTTGTCTAAACTGTTGTGCCCTACGTGGGCGAGGAGGTGGTGGGATGTTCGACAGGAGAACCCACATAGTGTCGCTAATGGGGTCTGCTAGGGCGATGACATCAGGGCCAGTGACCTTGAAGTAAGTGGAGCGACCCCACATCCAAACATACCCACCTGGGGCAGTCTGAAGCATGTGCATAGCTCGAAGGTTCTGCAGGGTCAAACGGGAGGACTCAGCCTGAAAGAAAGTGTACCCAGGAGGGAATTGCTCCACGGAGAGTGTGAGGGGTGCTAAAAATTCGAAAGGCAAAATTTCCCTCATGGTCAGGGTAGCTAAAAACTCGCGGGTCAGTAAGGTAATAGTGGAAAAGTTCACAAATAATAGGCGTTCCCAGCCAATAATGGAAAAAAGAGCGCGACATTAGGTGCCGACCTCAATAGTGTTAGATCGAGATGTTCACTTTACTTCTATGGTGTGGAAGAAATTTCATGAGGAGTTGGGTATCCGGTTGCATTTCAGAACCACATACCACCCACAGACAGACGGGTAGAGTGAGCGGACGATTCAGACGCTCGAGGACATGCTACGTGCATGTTTTACAGACTTCGGAGGAAGTTGGGACACCTATTTTCCCCTGGCTGAATTTTCTTACAACAACAGCCACCATTTCAGCATTGGTATTCCTCCCTTTGAGCTCTTATATGGGAGGAGGTGTCGGAATCCCATATGTTGGGGCGAGGTAGGGCAGCGAGTGATGGGTGGAACTGAAATAGTGTTGATGACGACCAAGCAAATTCAGAAGGTTAGACAGAGGTTACTGACATCCTAGAGTCACAAGAAGAGTTATGCAGACCAACGAATATCCAAGCTAGAGTTTCAGGTCGGAGATTTTATCCTGCTGAAGGTATCCCCATGGAAAGGGGTGATCCGATTCAGGAAACAGGGCAAGCTAGGGCCCCGATACATTGGTCCTTTCGAAGTGATCACAAGAGTGGGTAAGGTAGCTTGCTGGTTGGAGCTACCTGCAATGTTGAGTCAAATTCATAACACCTTCCACGTGTCTCAGTTGAGGAAATTGTGTGACCGATGAGACGACGGTGGTACCATTAGAGGACATTCATGTGGATACGAGCCTGAGCTATATTGAGAGGCTGATAGCGATCTTGGATCAAAAAGTCAAGCTTCTGAGGAATAAAGAGGTTCCCCTAGTCTAGGTTCAATGGCAACATCAGAAGGGATCCTAGTGGACTTGGGAGCCGGAGTCCAAGATGCACGAGCAGTATCCAGAGTTATTTTTGGAGCCTGACTTCGAGGGCGTAGTCTGATTCTAATGGAGGAGAATTGTAACATCCCGAATCTCAGGTATTATATTATATATTTTTGTGGATATAATGGGTAAATCGAAGAGTTGTGTGGTCGAATCGTCGAGTAGCATCGGATTGGTCACGAGGTTTAATGACCAACTTGACGATTCAGAGAGCCGATTCGCTGAGTTGGCGTTGTGTGAGGAAACCCTATATCCCCAGGTTTGTGTCCTATTTAAAGGGCCTTAACACCTCATTTCCACCTCCCTCATCACCATTGAGCCTTGTGAAGAACCCTAATCGAGTTTTAGCTTGTTCTGTAAGGAGAGGCTATCTTAAGCATTTTTAGTGAACTTGGAGAGAAGAAGAGGAAAGCATCAAATGAGAGTTTGCAGGGAGGATATCCAGAAGACAACCTGAAGAACTCATCATGGGCATTACTAGTTTGTGGTGATGCTTTTTGGATTCACCAACGAACCGGCAACGTTGATGGGTCTTATGAATCGAGTGTAAAGGCCCATGTTGGATCAATCGGTGATCGTGTTCATCGACGATATTGTGGTGTACTTGAGGTCTATAGAGTAGCACGAAAAGCATCTTCTGGAGATTCTTGAAGTCTTGAGGATGGAGATGCTTTACGCCAAATTCTCCAAGTATGACTTCTAGTTATGAGAGGTCCAGTTCCTAGGACACCTCGTTAATTAGAATAGGATATTGGTCGACCCGACGAAGATTGAGGCATTTATAAGATGGGAGATACCGAGATCCCCATCTGAGATCAGGAGTTTTATGGGTTTGACCAGCTACTATCGGAGGTTTATCAGAGATTTATATAAGATTGTTGTTCCTCTCACCAGATTGACCCGAAAGGGTGTTAGTTTTTCCCGGGGTCCCAACCAACAGGCCTCATTCGAGACTCTTCGCAAGAGATTGTGCGAAGCTCTAGTGTTAGCTCCTCCCGAGGGAGTGGAGGACTTTATGGTTTATTGTGATGCATTTATATCATGGATGCGTATGGTATTTATGCAGAGGTGGCACGTGATAGCATATGTATTGAGTCAGTTGAAACATCACTAGATGAGGTATCCCACCCATTATTTGGAATTGGGGGCAGTGGTGTTCGCCCTCAAGATCTAGCACCATTATCTGTATGCAATCCAGTGTACCATATATATGGACCATAAGTGCCTGAAGTACCTCATGGATCAGCCCAACCTGAATATAAGACAGAGGAGGTGGTTGGATTTGGTGATAGACTACGACTGCAAGATCATGTATCATTCGGGCAAGGATAATGTGGTAGTTGATGCCTTTACCTGTAGAGCAGCAAGTGCTCCGATCTGAGATGTGTGTATGAGGGTGATGGTGATGAATCTAGTCTTAGATACCATCCGAGAGGCCCAGGTGGAGGCCATGAGACCGGAGAACCGCAAGAGGGAGTGAGTGATCGGACAGGTTTCCGAGTTTGATATGGATTTTTCGGCACTTATGATTTTCTACGGACGGATATGGGTACCATATACAGGTGGAGCTTGGAGCATACTGATAGAGGAGGCATATATACCGAGATTCTCGATCCACCTGAGGCTACTAACACGTATTTGGATCTAAATATGGGTTATTGGTGTCCCTGTATGAAGAGAGATGTGGCATGGGTAGTTGAGAGGTGCTTGACTTATCAATAGGTTAAGGTGAAGCACCATCGTCCACATGGCCCAATGCAGCCTCTAGAGATTCCCCAATGGAAGTGGGAACAAATTTCCATGGATTTTATCACCAAATTACCTAGGACTACGCGAGGTCTCAATGCAATATGGGTGATTGTAGACCTACTAACGAAGAGTACTCACTTCCTTGCCATTAGTGAGAGCTCTTCTGCAGAGAAGTTGGTGGAGATCTACATGTGATAGGTGGTGGCACGACATGGAGTGTCGGCATCGATAGTGTTAGATCGAGATGTGTGCTATGCTTCTAGGTTCTAGAAGAAGTTTCATGAGGATTTGGGTACCCGGTTTCACTTGAATACCACATACCACCCATAGACCCACAGGCAGAGCGAGCAGACAATTCAGATGCACGAGGACATGTTGCGTTGTTATGGACTTCAGTGGAAGGTGGGCCACTTATTTTCCCTTGGCTGATTTTTTCATACAACAGTAGCCATCATTCTAATATTGGTATGCCTACCTTTGAGTTCTTATTTGGGAGGAGGTATCGAATTCCCATCTGTTGAGGAGAGGTAGGGTAGGGGGAGACTGGTAGCACTAAGATAGTGCTCAAGATGAATGAGCAGATTCAGCAGGTCAGATAGAGGTTACTGATGGCCCAGAGTCTCCAGAGGAGTTACACAGACCGAATACGATCCGATATAGACTTTCAGGTTGGAGAGTTTATCCTCCTAAAGGTATCCCCATGGAAAGGGATGATCTGATTTAGGAAACAAGGCTAGCTGGGCCCTAGATACATTGGTCCTTTCAGGATGAGCGCCCGAGTGGGTAAGGTAGCTTACCAGTTGGAGTTGTTTGTAGAGATAATCAAGATTCATAACATCTTCCATCTGTCTCGGTTGAGGAAGTATGTAGCCGATGAGACGATTGTGGTACCATTAGAGGACATTTCTATCGATGCAAGCCTGAATGTTGAGAGACAAATAGAAATTTTAAATAAGAAGGTGAAGGTCTTGAGGAATAAAGAGGTACTCTAGTTTAGGTCCAGTGGCAACATCGGAAAGGATCCGAGTGGACTTGGGAGCCGAAGTCCGAGATGCATGAGCAGTACCCAGAGTTGTTTCTAGAGCATGACTTCGGGGGAAAAATCTGAATCTAGTGGGGGGGGGGGGGGGGAATTGTAACATCTCGACTCCTAGGTAATAATATCTATAAATTTTATGATTATGATGGAGAAAATCGATGAGTTGGAGGCCCCAACTCGTCGAGTAGAGACAAATTTGGTAGCGTGGGTTTTACGACCAACTCGACGAGTTAGAGTGACCAACTCGACTAGTTGGCATTGTGAGAGGAAACCCTAATTTTACAGGGTTGTATCCTATTTAAAGGACCTGAAGCCCTCATTTTCGCCTCATATGTCACCTTACTCCCCTGTGTGAAACCCTAATCGTTTAGAGTGGTCTAAGAGTGAAAGAGAGTTAACTTTTGGAATTGTAGTCCATTATTCGAAGAGAAGAGAAGAGTATCAAGGCTTGGAATGAGAAGGGACTTTTGGATCCAATGTTTATCCATCCTTAGCTTTTGTTTGAAGGTAAAAGTCACCACCTTTCTTATTATTTTGCTTAGATATCGTTTTCTTTGGGGAAGCCTTAGGGCTTTTTCCATCTTTCCTTGAGACTTTGAGTATTTTGAGTTTCCAGGAGATTAAGATTTCAGATCTGGACCTTTTGAGGTCCCTTAAACCTAAAGGTCCAAGCTTTATTAAGATAGAGGAGAGCTTTTATGCTTAGGATCCAAAATGAAACTTTTTTTTGGCATTTCAAGCCCTAAGTTCCATGCATTGACGTAAAGCTTGCAGCTTTACGTGGTATTTAATACTCGGGAGGCTAATCTAGAGTTTGGGGTTGTAAATCTACCTTAAAACGTATCGTTAAGAACATAAAATGAAGAGACTCGCCGAGTCAGTGATCTGACTCGTCTAGGGTTTCCCCCAATGAGTCTGGACACGAGTAACTCGAGGAGTTGATGAGACAACTCGATGTGTTAAGATGGATTTTTGCAACATTGCTGAAGGAATAAGGGAACTCGACGAGTCACATAGATGCACTCAACGAGTCGTGTCAACATGGACTGTTGACTCAAGTGTTGACTTATGTTGACTTTAGGGTTTGGTCAAGATACAGATTTTAGGGACCATGGAGAGGTAAAATGGTCTTTTACCCATCCCAAGAGTTAGAGAGAAAAATATCTTGGTTTATTTGGATTTGTGATTTAAGTGTTAATTAAAGATGCTTATGACATGTAGGCATGGATTAGACCATTTGAGGGGTACACGATTTCTTTGCTTAGT